TAAAATAGAAAGCATTCTTACAGGGGCAGTTCCAAATTAAGGCGAAGGGAATTTAGTAATTTTCGGTGAAAAGGTCAGTAACAAATATATTACAGAATAGTAACCCTGCATACATAACACTGTCAAATGTATATTTTCCATATTCTATATCCTAATTAGAGGCATTCTCTTTAAGGCCTAGAACTACTGCTACTGTAGAAGCTATAGCTGTGCCTTTGTTGACTGACTTTGCTGCAGTGGGAAAATTATCTTTATCCAGACCCATCAGAAATATGAAAAGCTATAACTGGTAGTTAGGGAAATTCCAGTGTGTCATTGCGTTTGCCCCTGTTGTTCAGTATAGTACTTTCTGGAGAGCGTCAGAGTGGAACTACCAAGATTTGTGATCCTCATGAGCTGAACATGTATGGTTCCTATCCTTGTGTATGAAAACTGGGTGGAAGAAAGCTTTTTATCAGTTTCTTAGTGAAAGTAACATGATTTAGGAACTTCCTTCCATTGCTGAAGGCCTGCCCTGTGGAACAGCCTCCCCCATGAGATTTGGAGGCCTCAACCCTCTTGCCTTCCAGAAGAACATTACCATATGGCTTTTTCCCAGGGCATAAGAGGAACCCAATATACATGTGTCTGTCTTGTTGAGTGGCTCAGTTTTCTTTTCTATTGGATTATTTTTAACTTTGTTCCATTATGGATTTTTTAATATATGTGGGAAGGTTTTTGTTATTGTTGTTGTTGTTTGGGGGTTGCAAAGTGGTTGCTAGCTGCCCAGATTTATGTATTTAAAATGGGCAGCATATAAATTTTCCAAATAAATATAATACAGTATATTGGGCAGAGATACCGCAAATGTTCAGAACCGGATCATCTCCACCCATTATGGCTTTCCATTTTCAGTCACTTAAGAAAATCCATACTTGATGCAAAATGTGTTCATGACTGGCTTGTCTCGGTTCAAAACTTATACTAATTATGAAAATGTCTAAAGTAAAAATAAGCACCAGAAGAACAGAAAGTTCCAAACCTTCTGAGGAAAAAGTGATAAAGATATAACACAAAGGGTTCAGGAAAAATAAAAACTATAACTTTTTGACTTCTTGTACAGGAGCAACTTTGACAAAGCTTGAATTTTCTTTTGGTTAAGAAGAATGCAGTGTTTTCATTCAATAGCCTGTGCTGTTTTATGTCATTCTGGATGTCAAGAACAGACTCACAAGTCCAGGTAGATGAATTAGTTCCAACTCCAATTCTTTAGATTTGTTCTGTCCAGAGCAACCAGGACAATCAATTGCTTCTTTCCATTCTGTTCCATTCCAGAATAAATGGGCTACTGCCCACTCCTCTGCATGCTGGCCAATTCAAGCTAATGGGAGGACAGGAACAAATTTACCAACCTTTGAAATACTGAATAAAAGAGCCAAAGAGCAAAAGAAGGAATTGGAGAGTTTTTCCTTCTATTCTGAAAATAGCAATGCCCAGTGGAGGAAAAATACATTCACTGTTATAGGAATCTACTGGATATAAATCCTAATTATATTGTATAGCAAGGCCTTCCTTTTCTGTAACTTTTTCAGATCATTTCTTGGTGGAAGAAATCCTAATTACATTCCAGTCCTTGTACATGTTTTGTATCTTCTCCCCAATACTTAAATAAGTAAAGATCTGTAGGTGGGAGAAAAGAGAGTGGCAGAATGTAAGGTTGGAAAGGTCCTAGGAGATCATCTAGTTCAACGTCCTGTCCAAAAATGTCTGTTACAGATTCCTGGCTGACGGTCTTCAGCCTCTGTTTAAATACCTCCAGCAAAGGAGGGTCTACCATCTCTTGGGAAGCCTGCTCCATTCTTGAAAAGCGGTTGCCATCAGAATGTCTGTGTGTAATGTCCATCCAAAATCAGCTTCCTTGTCATTTAATGCCTTTGTTTCTTATTCTGTCTTGGGAACAACTCTGAACTCTGTGATCCACCTGAGCAACCTTTAGAATTCTGGGAATTGAAGTCCAGACATCTTAAAGTGGCCAAGGTTGAGAAACACTGCTTTAGGTACTTGAACAAAGCTGTCACATCTCCCTGGTACCTTTTCTTCTCCAGGCTAAATATGCCCAACAGCTTCACCCATTCCTTAGAAGCTCTTACTTCCCAAGCCCCTTATTATTATTGTTTGGTTTCTCTCCTCCCACCCCTCCACTTCCCAGCTTTTACACTGCTGGCATAAATTCCATCTTGGAACTCTCCAGCAGCTGGAGGCCAGTTAGTGAAGGGATGGCCACTTTTCCAATCAGAGGAGTGTACAATGATGTTCTACTCTACCTGAGGACTGCTGGGAGCACAGCTAGGGACCTAATGACATGGCCACATTGAGAGGAGCTGATCCTTGTGTCGTTGTGCTAAGCAATCAGACTTCTTAAAAATTAATTTTGAGCAGAGTTAAGAAAACAAAGTGGTGGCTTAAGCCTCGCCCATGGTCTCTTAAACCCTCCAAAACAAAGAAAAATCAGCCCACTTTCAGAAAGGAAACTGAGGTTTTTAAGGGGTGCATTGGGTCTGCTACAGCTCTCAAGTCTTAAGATACCCATTAGGTTCCTCTAGCCTCTATCCTCCCAATGGGTCCACAAATGGTATCCCCACCCACTTCAGAGTATGCAATACCTCTAAATGGGATGCTGGGGATTATAGATCTTGAATTAGGAGAATTGTGGCCTACAGACTACTACAGTATCTCTAATCCCAAGCAATGATAAATATATCTTCAGGTAAAAATGTCTCCTCCCGCCCCCCATCCCTGGCATTCTGAAATCAAGGCATGTAGGTCCTCCCTGCTCTTGCATTAGTAGGAAGTACCGTTTTTCATCAGGTCCCTGGGAGAAGGAAAATTTCCTTACTGGAAAGTCTTCTTCATTCAATACAGCCGAGGGCTTTTGCATGCTGCAGCCTTCAGCTGCTCTCTATCAAGCACAGACCAGGTGGAAATGGAAGCAGCCTCAGAAGCACCTTCACAGATTTCAACCCCTTCCTCCATTTTGGCCATGGTGACGGCCTAGTGTTCGGTCTCAACACAAGTTGAACAGGGCCAATTAGTGGATTCCTCCTGCACCCACCCATGACAAGAAAGGAAGCGCCAGTGCAGAAAAAGGGCACTGGTTTTATAGTATCTTCCGACCCTTGAGCTAGAATGAGAAAGTTGGTAGAGCTCTTAACAATTTCTTCCAAAAAGAAGGAAAGAAAACAGGCCAACCAGCCAGCCAGCATTTCATCCTTCCTCTGTTGAACCTGTTATAAACACAGAGCCTGGCAGCCCAGGACGAATTGCTGTCAAAGGCAGAGAGCGTGGACAGGGGGCATGCCTGCCAGAGCACACACCATCAGCCACCTGGAACGGAGGCATTTGGTCAGGATGGGGTGAAGTGCAGGAGGCAGACTGCATTGCTCTGCTCGCTTCAGAGGAGAGGAAAAAGCATGACTTTTCATGCAGAGCCAGAAGCTTCAGATGGAGGTTACCTCCCCAGCAGGAAAGGAGCAGGCTGAGAACATCATCCATGCCTGCCCTCTCAACCCAGGAGGTGGCTATTCTCACACTGGGGCAAGCAGGAAATGGGGATCAGCCATGAGACATTCCTTTTTGTTCACTATGAGAGAAAGGCAATGAGGGAAAAGCGTGGTTTGACAACCATGAGCCAGGAGGAGAGTGGTGAAGGGATTCCTACCCACAATTTAGTTTAATACTGTGGGAACTGAAAAGTTATAATTGTGTTTTAAGGCACTTCTTTTCCTTCAGAGTTTTGGTCTTCACAGAGATTTGTCTGTCAAAGATTCTTCAAACATGGCAGAGGTTTCTGAGGATTCTCTAGTAAACACTCTTGTGGCGTTGGTTACCCTTATACTGTACATGACCTTTACAGGTTTCCAGGCTAGTGAATGCTTCATGCTTCCCATTAAGACAATGAATATACATTCAATATCAAGATATTTTTGTGCCTTTTGTAATGTTATGATGAACATTATGAAAATTATGCAACAATTTGATCTCCAAACATGTATATTGACAATTCAGGGAGTACTTTATAACAATTATCTTTGAACAAGATCCTTACCGAATTCTAGCAGTAGTCCTATATGAGTTTTAGGGAAACCTTAGTTAAATAAATTAAGAAGATTCTCTAAATTCAGAGTGGACATATTACCAAGTACTGTATTTTGGCTTTCTATATGAACTTGGGGGCAAATCTCATCATCTCACATTAATCCTTTGTACTGAAGCAAAATAAATACTACACTAAAGGATTTATATTCGGCTCTGTAATCCAATTAGCATAATTAGATTTAATTGGGAATCCTTCCCTATGACAGCTTGAAACTAGGAAGCAAGACTTACCATAATTCTGTGGAAATACTGGCTGCAAGAGTGTGATTCACTGAATTCCAGAAGCAAAGAAGATTCTTGCTATTTTGTTGGCTTCCAAGTTAAGTATCTGGGCACCAGATAATCTGCCTGCCCCCAGAACAGCCTGCTTAACAAAGATTTTAGCCAGAGCTGAGGAGCGCTTCATCTTCATGATGCCCTAGTTATAGAACATTATGCCCAGGGATATTCAGTCTAACTTCTCAGAGCCAGATGAAGCAATATATCCGACTCTACTAAGCTTTTGATTACATTATTTTCAATGAATGCTCTGCTCTATGTGCTTTTTTACTGTGAGCTTAATTTTGCCCTCCTGATATCTTTACCTATTACATCCTTTTTTTTCCAAAAATCCTTTGTAGTTCCACAGTTTTTTACTAATTTATCTTTTGTGAAACATTAAAAAAAAAAAACAGAATAGATTTTTTGGAAATCCCTGCGATAGAAAAGAGAGCAGATCACTTTTGAAAATAATAAGTAAATTAAACGAAATATTTTAAGAACTATCAATGTTGTTTGAGGCAGAAGGTAACACAGTATTTGAAGATGCTAGATATCTAGACCAGATGCCTTCCTTTTTCTCCCGGGTTTCAAAAAGTCACACTTACGTCAAACTCATTCAGGGCTGCAGCAAGCTCCCCAATTCCAGTGTGCCCCTTGTTCTCATCAGTAGGTGAGGTGGCCTGAGCTGCGTTGGAAATTCCAGCAATGGCTTCCTGGACTTGTTTGAAGACATAATCCCTGTTGGCTCTGGTGGCTGCGACATCAGGGTGGCGGAGGAAAGCTTGTGAAGCAGTGTAGAGCATCGTTGCATTTTTCTTCAAGGCACCACGAGCTGCAGCCATTTCATCTCTACAGTGGGGGTCCTTTAGCTCCTATTTGAAATAAAAAATAAATAGCACACGCAAACACACGCATGCATGTGAGTCTACAGTATTTATAAATCAGTGCCTCTGTGGAGGAACCAACTATTATCAAAAAGAAGTTGTCTTGGTCACAAAAAGGCATGAGAGCTTCCAAGCCATTCCAAACTATGCAGTGTCCCCATCTACACATGTGTACACTTCAGAATTACTTCAGAATGTTTCAGAATACATTTCAGAATGGTTTCAGAACTGGGAATCTTTCTTGTCTATTTCCTGTGCTGCCCAAACTTATTCTTTCCAGAACCTGCATATGTCTTCCAGCAACAGGAAGCCAGCATTATCTGGCTCCAACAATGCAACCAGAGGATCATTCTTTTAAGCTGAGTGATGGGAAAGTGATTGCGAATCTTGCACTCCTCTCATGAAAGGTCTTCATCTCCCCTACAAAAGAGTTTCAGAATTGGCAGTCTGATGGGCGAGTTCTGTCCAGCACTAGATGCATCTGCTTTCTGATGCCTGGGACTCGTCCATTTCAATACTTTGGGGTATAAAGGTGCAAAAGAGCCACCAATGGACAGGAAAAGCTTTTTAGATCCCTATCATTATCCCCAGGAGTCTCTCTGAAACTACATTTTATATATGGATCTGTTCTCACAACAGTGACTCTGGGCAGCATACAAACATTAAAATTCAACAATTAAAACAATAACTCATGGTGCCCTGGGTAAATAACACCTTCCAATCATAAAAGGACAGCAGCAACAGGGCTACCCTAACCTCCCGACCCAAATGTCTGGGGAAACCAATGAAAACCTGAGTCATTCTACAGATTATGTAGGATGCCTTTTCAATATACCCACCTGTTGCCTTCTAGCAGCTACGTAATTAAGCTTCACCATCTCTTTTCCAAATTCTTTGAAGCGGTTTGCAAGGTCTTGTTCATTGGTGGCATTCTTCACAGCTTCTAATGCTTCCTCTACCTGTAGTAGAGGAAGTTAGAGAGTTGAGAGAGTTCAGTTTATGATGTTCAAATCTTCATTGCATTACAAGGCAGCATCAGAACTCTGGAGCATATTCCCCATATGAGATAAAGTGATCATCATGAAACCATGCTATGGATATTCCCAACTGGGTACAGCTCTACTGTATGTTTTGTAAATTTTCATATGGCAAACATGTTTTAGTTTCCTGTATTACTGAATATAAACTGCTACTGGTAAATCAGGCTGGCTGGACAAGATTGCATTCATGAGAAAGCATGTTCCACAGTATGGGGCACTCAACCCCTAACTGTCTCTGGATTCTCAGTGACAGTTGTAGTGAAGCTTTATGCAATCGTGTCTAGTGCATAGAGCCCGTATTGATTGGGATGGCCCATAAATATTGTAAAATAAATAAATAAATTAGCAACTATGAATATTCCTGAGCTGATCAAACTTGGCAGCAAACAACCATGCCTTAGTTACAACCCAACTTCACTACAGGTAGTCCCCAGTTAAAGAGCAAGTTCCATTCCCAAGGTCTGTCCTTAAGTCATATTTGTATGTAAGCCAGAACAGTATTATTGTAAAATACTGTATAAGTAGTATTGTGTAATGAACTCAAACCATTCTGTATTTAACTCAAATCACTGTGTATTTAACTTGAATTTTGCTACAATAGGCTCCGTTCTTAACTATGGGGTATCCTTAAACCAGGCGTTCTTAACACATGGACTATCTGTATTGTAATTCATTCTATGTAGAGCTACCTTTGAGGAATATTTGAAAGCTCAAAGGGCTGCAAAATAAGTATAATGTCAGGCAGAGTGGAGGTATGCTTACATTCCATACCAAAAATACACACCAGCATTAGAGAGATTTAAAGAATGCAATGTCTTTATCTTGTTCTCCAAATAAATCCAGACAGAAGTTATAAAACATA